GGGCGACGGCAGGGTTTCTCCATCGCAGCGGGTGACTTTTATACCCTGTACGTGCCTGTACGTGAAATTACTAAGATGCCCTTGGCGGGGCACGAAAATTACAGGCGGTGGCAACAGCGTTTATAGAGCAACATGGAGGCAACGGTTCTGCCTAGGAGTTCTTGAAGGTTTATATGTTCAATACTGTATGCATGAAAGGAACGAAAACACTCATGATATCGCCAATATACCACCATATACACTTACATTTTTTATCATTTAAGCGGCAGAGAACACAAATGTGCTTTAAAATTCATGGCACATGTCTCGGATGTATCAGCATGAACAAACAAGTTACAATGGGAAGCGGTGAGAGAGGTGGTGAGATTTTTTTTTGTTTTGAGATAAGAGTCGTCGTTCTATCATTTGTTCTGTGAATGCATCGTAGCTAGGCTGCTATGTGATTTAGATGATTTTGGGGTGCCTTGTCTATCTTGTTAACTCCATTTCAAATTTGAGAAGATGATTTATTGCCAAAGGACATGCTATTACTCTCTGATATGGATGTTGATGAGCGGTACAGCTGAAAACTCTGAGGCTGGGCTTTGCACAAAGTGTATAACATAAAATTTTCTCGGTTGATTCTTGTCTACTCCATCAAGTGTCTGAAACAAGATTTTTGTATGTCTCAGCTTATTCTTGGGCATGTCTGGCACTCTAGTTAAGTGAAGTTCCAGTTTTACTTCTTTCCCAGAGACCGATCACCGAATGAGATTATATATAGTGCAGTACAAGGACAGAGTCGTTGCTTCTTAGACAGAAACAAGCTGACAATTAAAGGATGATGTGCTTGAGGCAAGATGAATGAGCTTTAGATCCGTCAACAAACCGCAAAAACATTCATAAGTTGTGCTAGTATGGTGCACGTTCATTTCAGGAACAAGCTAGGATGGATGCATATTTCTGTCATTTCACCGCTAGTTGGAGCACACGAACGAAACACAATCAAATATCAGCATGCCTCAACTCAAAAAAGGAAAAGGAAGAATAGCAGCAGCCTCCAGCATATGGGCAAAAAGAAAATGGGCTTGTCTAGTTGAACATGGCGGTACAGCGAGAAAGAAGAGTGTGAATCGGTCCCAGAACTATACAGATTGCGCAAAACAGAAAAACAATATATATATTCCGCCGCGCCGAGATGTTGGGTTTCAGGTCGTGCTCAAAAGTTACTTATTTCTTCCATGGCTGGATAACCGCGACCACGACGATAACTACTATCACAAGGAGAAGGATGATGGCGTAGCACATTCGCTTCTTCTGCAACCTCTTTGCCTTCTGGAGAGTTCCCTCGCCTTGTTGTATGTGGTTGGTAGCATTTGAAGCCTTGCAAAAAAAATGTTTGTTGGCTTGCTTGCTTTGTAAAATAAAATCAG